AACTTATGTGGTTATTATATTTGAGTGCATTGTCAAACACGCACAGGCCTTCATTGCTCCAAATTTATAGAGGAGCCAACTATATGCATAGCTTGACTTAGTTTTCAACATATCTGCATCACATTTGGGGGAGAGTGCAGTGTGGGATACACACATAACACCTTGATGTGCATGAGGTCAGGACCAGTGTATGAATTATATTCCCACCACAGAGCTGTTTATCATCAGAAAAGCAGAATGTGTTGCTTTGAAACGAGCCCTTTCCTCCTTGCAAACCATTCACATGTAGCACAATTTTCAACACAAAGACGCAGACCCATGGCCAGCCCTGCCATTAATATTATGCAGTTCATCCGAGCCCTGTGTGGCCACTGAAAATAAATGGGCTTTGCTCGCACTGTGTGAAGCACAGCTGCTGACAGGCATGTTAATGATGTCTGTAATTCCATGCGCAATATCAAGAATTACCCCGTGCATCTGTGAATATGTTTGTAGCTGAGTGTACAGTATATGTGTGTGTGTTTGTGTGTCCGGCAAAAACAACCCCTTACCTCCTCGTGGTGCCGGACGGCAACGCTGTGGTGGGCAGTGCCATGGGGGAAGGGAACATTTAAATTGGCCTTACCTTTCATGGCATTTGTAATACCACAGCGGCCAAATTCCGGGCTCTGGATGAATGCGATGGGCTGGTTACTCCTCCACCTTCAATTAACTACCACAAAACCACGTATAAAATATCTAATGAATAAGCTTGTGCCGGAGGCGCCGGGGGGACAGGCGTCTATGACGTCTCCTGGCCAAACCTCATTTGGCGGAACCAGGAGACTGAATTCTTACCCTCGGGGCTCCTCCAGAAACAACAAAAAACCACTATGTGTGGCCACATGGAATGTTCGAACGTTCACTGCGGAGGAGAGGCTGCCATTTCTCTGTCGGGAGCTGGACCGGTACCGCCTGGATCTCTGTGGTATTCAGGAGGTCCGGTGGACCGGCTCTGGCTCCAGCCACCATGAGAGGTGGACAGTCCTCTTCTGGGGCAGGAGACTGCCAAACAACAGGGGGTGGCTCTTCTTCTGAACAAAAGAATGAAGGGAGCTTGGGAGCGTGGCGGTGAGGTGTGGGAAGCTGGAAGCCCCAGGCTACTTTGGGCTCGCCTTCCTATCAACCAGAGGCGAGGAGTGGTGGTCGTGGTTACTTATGCCCCCACCGAAGATGAATATCCGTGGAGGGAGACAGGCAAGCCCGGTGAGTCCGATGCCTTCTATGACCTCCTGTCACAGGTGCTAGCTAAAGTGGCCCCTTGGGATAGAGTCATCTTGTTGGGTGACTTCAATGCCCGAGTTGATCATGATGCTGGCACCTGGTCTGGAGTGATTGGAAGGCATGGGCCAGATCAGCTCAATAATAACGGCAGGAGGCTGCTAGATTTTTGTGCAGCCCATGGGCTTGTAATTACCAATACGCTGTTCCGACATTGGCACATCCACACAACATCATGGATGCATGCCGGGTCCAAGCAAGAACATCTGCTGGACTACATAATGATGGAACAACAGCAGATGCGGACCCATGTCCTTGACACCAGGACCTACCGTGGAGCTGATCTGCCCACTGACCATCGACTTGTCATCTGTAAGATGAGCCTGCCATTCTTCCACTCCGGTGGTGGGTGTACACCCAGAACCCCATTCAAACCCTTAGTGGCATGGTCTCAGCTACCTGATGAAAGTTGCAAGCGAGAATTCCATCATCGCTTGCGGCTGCGATTGGCATCTTCCCCCACTCCTCCTGCTGTCAGGTGGAAATAGGCGAGGTTTAGGACTGTGGCTCATGCAGCTGCAATGGCTGCTTTGGGTACATGGTCTCGACCTCCCCAGAGACCCTGGCTGACAGAGGAGGTGTTCAAGCTGGCTGAGAAAAAGCGACAGGCCCACTTTCATCGGCTACAGCATCCCACATTGGAGAATGAGAGCCATGAGGTGCTGCAAGGATGGGTGGTGGTCGCGGGTTGCTGAGGAGATGGAGTCTGCGTCAATGGCCCGTGATCACAAATCGCTCTATAATTCCATCAAAAAGTAACCTGCAGTGCCACACCTATTAACATAATTCGGGGGCAAGAACAGCAATCCAATCTCCGACCCCCAGGAACAGGCTTTCAGATTTTCTGAGCATTTCTGTGAGGTCCTGGGGAGGGGAAATCCCTCAGCCTGGAAAACATTGTGGGACAAAGTGGGGATGACCCTGCCGAGGCTGCGATGCCTCAAACATTGAAGGAAGAAGTCACCCCCTGTGAGTGGCTGGCTGAGGTGCCATCTGTTGAGGAAGTACTGAAGGTGATCCAGAGTCTGAGACGAGGAAAGGCACCTGGCAGAGATGATGTCCCAAGCAAAATGCTGAGGAAGGGTGGAGTTTGTGCACAGACTGCCTTACATGACATCATAACAATAGTCTGGTCCACTGGACGGGTTCCGCAGGATTGGACGGATGCCCTGGTGGTCCTCCTCTTTAAGAAGGGGGATCGCACAGACTGTAACAACTACAGGGGCATCTCACTCCTCAGTGTGCCCGGAAAGGTCCTGGCAAGGATTATTCAACATCGCCTTGCTAGGTACGCTGAGGAGAGGCTTGCGGAGCCCCACCGGTTTCAGGAAAGGGTGTTCCTTCACAGATGCCATATTTTCTGTCCGTCTGCCACAGCAGAGGTGGAGGGAATTCCAACAAGACCTATATCTCTGCTTTATTGACCTGGTCAGGCCTATGATACCATCAGTAGGCCTGGGCTCTGAGCTGTTCTTCATGCTTTCGGAGTCCCTGGCCCTCTGCTCACGATCATTAAGGACCTTCATGATGGTGAGCGGGCCCGGGTAAAACTATGTGGCCGGGAGTCGGAGCCATTCCATACCTGGGCAGCGTGCTCATGACCTGCTCCGGTTTAACAGTAGAGGTCTCACTCCAAATCACTCGAGTGGCATCTTTTCATCAGTTGCATAACGCTGTGTGGAAGCTACCTGGTCTATCACTCCTCACAAAGCTTCAGGTCTTCTTGGCCACAGTCATTCCCTCCCTTCTTTATGCTTGCGAAACGTGGACCCCCCTAATGAAACATCTTCACCAGTTACAACCATTTAGGCTGGCCTACCTATGATCCATCCTGGGTTTAACCAGGCTGGAGTGTGTAAGGAGCTCACAAATCCTTGAAAGATCTGGACAAAGTCCCATCGGTGAGCTCCTCTGGCAGGCAAGGCTGCATTGGCTGGGAAGTGTAGTCCCCTAGAGAAGAGATGGAGTGATGTGGTACAGAAGGATGTGGAGCTGAGTGGACTTGCCGATGACTGGTACCAGCGGTATCAAGATCGGCCTCTGGTGAGGAGGCTCGTGAAGGACGCCACTGGGCAGTTGGAGGCAGTCGCCCTCCAACAATAACGGAGGGCGGAGGAGTGACGCTCACAACAATGAGTGGAGCACCGGGTGACTAAAGCACAGCAAGTTGGCACAGTATTGGGCACTGGTGGTGCATCAGCCAGTCATTTCAGTCAGTCGGCCTTTGGCATCTGGGTCTGCCCCGTGACCTTCTGCCAGTGGGCGTTCGACACTTCACGTGGCCTAAAAGTGCACATAGCCTGGCACAAGCGTCGTGGTGACGTCACCGCCACTTAGTGGCGAATGGCAGTTGTTGTATGTGTGGGGAGCGGTAGTGTAGCGCTACGAACCCGGTGACCCGAGTTCGATTCATGCTCACGGCCAATACCAATGACGATTATCATAACTGGTGCTGGGCCTTCTGTAGGTCTACTCAGCCTCAAATCAGTACCTGGTGCGATATGTAGAAGAAAAAAAAACTTCGCCAAGAGGTAGACAAAGGTGGCTGAGCGTGGTGTTGGCCACCAACCCACTTGTGTGCCATGCCGGCCTTCATAAGTGCTGCTCGCTAACAGCACTTGCTCCAACAGTCTGTTAAGGCTATATGGGGGATCTTTATATATGTGAACCTGTGTGGGGGAGCATTGCCGCAGTGGTTGGCGCAATGCACTGCAAGCGCAGGTGGTATCGGTTTTTGGGCCTCCCCCTAGGTTGACTTAGCCCTAAATATATAAGTGGGGTGGCGTGTAGCCACCAACACAGGGATTGACAATGTCTTTCCGGAGCCACGTCGGTCATAACCACTCATGCAACCTTCCAGCCTTGATAATTCACTGTGTAACAAAAATATATATATTTTTTGTTCCTGGGTAGTAAGTGTTATTTTCTATCTTGATTTAAAACTTTCGTGACTGCAGGAATTCATACTTTTTGGGTCTTTCGGTAAAGGTACGTAGATAGAAAAATAATAAATCTCTCACAATACAATGGCCAAGCCCAACAGCTTTGGGGTGCCCTCGATCTAACCCCGCCCACTTACCCTTGGGGTGCACCCATCTCAGGCCTATAAAACACCCTGCTTCAGCAGCTCTCTTGCTATATTTTTTCACCTAAGGACGATTGCTAGTATTGCGATCGAAACGTCGTGATTTTTATTATTTTTCTATCTACGTGACTTTACCAAAAGACCCAAAGAGTATGTTATTTTCGAATTAATTATGCCTCAAAAGTACAGAAAATGGCTATTATTCCCCACAAACTTTGCTTTTGTGACCAGGACACAAAAGCAAAGTTAATAATCCACTCCATTAATAACACTGTGTAACAATTGGTTATTATTCCCCACAAACATTGCTTTTGTGACCAGGACAATGATATTTTGAAATGAGAAGACATGTGCATTTGTGTCATTCCTTCACATAACGTCCTGGTCACAAAAGCAAAGTTTGTGGGGAATAATAGCCATCTTACATACTTCTGAGGCATAATCAATTAGAAAATAACACTTACTACCCAGGAACAAAAATCGTGTTACATACATATATAATTTGCTCGCATGTGGCACCTACCCCGACACATCTCTCATTGGCCGAACGAGGGCACAGATGCTTGTGAGATTTGTTGAAGCTTTGTGGCCTTACCCAGCACCGTGAGGGTGGTGGACACAGTCTTGACCGGCTTGGTGAACAGGGAGCACACGTAGATGCCCTCGTCAGTAAGGGTGGCGTTGTTGATGGAGATGGTCAACACCGTGTCCGCTCGTTCAACCAGCTCTATCCGCGTGTCCTTGAGGGCTGCAGGGCAACAGAGCACACAGACATTATTGTTGTTGTTACACTTGTTTACCCAGGAAGGCCTCACTGAGTCTCAATGATCTTTTTCATGGAGAAACTGGCTCCTGCCCGTCTCTCACTGGGTTGGTGGGCCTGGACACCTCGACTTTGTTTCTCTTTAAATTACACAGTTAAATGAATGTCTAGTGTAAATTTTATACAAATTTCCAAGTTACTTTTAGTTGTGTAATATAGATACCGATTACAAATTAGAAATGTAATAAAAATGTAATATTTAAATTTAATAATATTTGGTTTAAATTTTGATTTAAAGCTTTCGTGACTTCAGGGATTCATATTCTTGGTTCTTTCGGTAAAGTCACGTAGAAGGGAAATAATTAAATAATTTTTTAAAAAATCTTTATTTTATTTTATTATTTCCCTTCTACGTGACTTTACCGAAAGAAACAATAATATTTAGTTTCAACTCGAAAAAAAACACATTAGAGAGCTATAGAGCACTGCTATGGAAATAAAAACGAAAGCAGTAGTAATGTGGAATGTCCACCACTGGCCCAGGCGAAGAGGTCATCACAACCAATGTGAATAATGCCACTAACCCTCGCCTTCACGTTCTTCCTTCTGCTAGATCCCACAGCTGTTGGGAAGCTCACATGGAAACTCAACGGTCCGCTCGTACACAAATTCATCGCGTGGACGGTCTTCTTCACTTTCCATGGAACTTTTAAAAAATATATATTATTACATACATTGAGTGTGTAATAATCTTGATGATCGTTATTTGGTTCCCTTTGAAACATTTCTGGCGGCACTCATGCAAGCCAAGGTGTATCGAGTGCGTGTCACCCATGCCCCGTGCTGGAGGCGGTGGACTTGTGCCGTGCTTGCAACTTGTGTCACAGCGCATTATTGTGGATGCCATAAACACTCCCATTTTTTCGTCAAAATGTACTTCTGGACTGCCGTTTTTTTTACATATCATGCTCATAAAATAATAACGACAATTTCTATAAAAATGTGTATAGCATTGTAACATGGCAAGCCATTACAGGGGCAATACCGACAAGTGGCGTGCAGTTATCTGCCTCGCCTGATGCGCAGGCAGGCGAGTGTGGGTTCTATCCCGTGTACTCTCCCTCCCCATGGTGGTCACTTGGATTTTTCTCCGGGTCCTAAGAAACTTGCATTTTGATTTATTTTCCTGCCACTATAAATTGCCACATATGGTTATATCAGCCACGTTGATGAGTTGTCGCCTCTGAAAAAGAGGTCATATAGTTCAGTGGGATATATCTGGTAAATCAAATCATTTAATTAGCTTAGTTCATGTCAAAGGCAAGACAATGTGGATTACGAGTCTGGTGAGAATTGAGCACCTGAACCTGCCTTTTTTCTGCTGCCTCTTGTTCTCATACTAAACTTGCACTGTTTTAATTCCCGTGTTTTTGTTTACGACCATACCATATCTCGTTAGTGGTGCAATATTCCGTAAGGACCTTGTACTTGTGCTCTGCAATATTGACGTTTTTGTCTTTGTTATGTTGCTGCTGTGCTCACGCATCACGGATCTCCATTGTAAAATATCCGGGAAATTGGCTGAACGAGATCATCCGTGTAACATGTAAACTCATACTCAATTTCCATTGAATTCCCTAGGCCAGTGATGGAAATGCCACATTACTGCAGCTTAGGTTGTCATTTCTGTGGCTGTCCTGCAAAGCACTCCAATGTTTTCGAGTTTGAGACCTAATGACATGCATTTTAAATATATAATGCAAATACATTTGTAATTTGTAATTGGGATCTCAATTTCACACCTCAGTGTCATTTGTATATGAATTATGTCCGACAAGATTAATTAGCAATTTGTACCTAATTATATTTTCTACAGTAATATATGTGAATTAATTTTTGCCCCTTCTCATGATGAGCCAATAGTATAAGCAAAATTGTTATTTCAGAATAATCGTGGTTTAGCATCAGAGTACATGATATAATTGCAGGATTCTGCTTCCAATAGTTGTCAAATTCCTGTCTAGGTAAAGTATACACGAGGGAGGCAAAATTACAAACTCTGCACACATAGCCACATATTTTACTTGTCATACTGCTTCTCTGGCAGGCAACTTTTTGCCAAGCTGGTGGGTGTCTCCATCAGTTTGTGATCCACCAATCCCATCTGTAAGGTTATATCGTCACACTCGTGTTTTGATAATAGGTTACCACTTCGTCAAGGGTCAACTGAGCATGTCAATGAGCACAACTTTGTGGGAAGCCACCACTTTCTTCATTTTTTCGTATGGCATGTAAGCAACAGTTTGTATAAATTATGTCATAGTTTAATTTTATGGGCCTTTCAAGGCGGCAGGAGATGCTGTACGAATTGCAGCGACATCGACAGGGTGTGCATGAATGGCACACTCGTTGGTGTCATGTGTTTGATGGTTTAGGCTTTCCAACACCACCACTGGCTGCCCTCAACAGGACCTCGCCTCATGGGATTGTGACGTTTCCTCCCGCCAATGTATTGAGCAGAGAACTCAAGAGACTAGGATGAGTGGAATGTGCCATAGTGACGTGGATCATCATAATGACAACACCAAACACATTACAATCAAGAACCAGAGTGAAAGCAACGCGTTACAGAAAACAATTGAAAACTGCACGAATAGTATCAACACGTAACATTTAGAGACCATTCATAGTGAAAATAAATTACACACAGATCAACATTTTGATGTTTTGAGACAAAATGTTAAGGGTGACAATGTGCATTTTTATTATTACTGCAAATACCATATTTGTAATGGGATATTTAAGCTACTTTTCCATTTGAATATTAATGAGGTAGGAAGAGAAATCACATCATGTTTGTATGTTTATTCATAGGGTGCAAATAACATGTTCCTTCATACAGGGACAGAAACTTTATTTAAATTGTCTGTTGAGACAAATAAACATTGCATACAAATGAAATTAACAAACACGTTCATTAATAAGTAATGCTGTGCGTGTCCTTCAGATGTACATTGAGTGGGAGAATAATTTGTTGAACATTCACAAAGCCTCAACATGGCTTATGTTTCACTTGATGAAAGGAGCTAATATTAAATTCTGATTGAGTGACACGCATAGTTTCACATTATTTTGTGATGGTGGTTCACGAGGGCATCATGCCATCTCAATGGAATGAGCAGGCAACGCTGGAATTGTTGGTAACTATTCTATGCGGCCATACACCGGGATTTCAAGCGCAGTGAGTTAATGGTTTCAGCCGAGTTACCAATGACTGCGCAACAACTTAATGTTTAAGGGGTTGTTTAATTGGCTTATCCAGATATACAATGTTTCAGTTTGGCATGTGATGAACACTCGACTACACAAGGCATACATCATCTGTTTCCCAGGTGTGGATAAGTAGATCTATTGATTAACCTCAGAATGGATTTTGTGACATCGGAGCTGTTCCCTTCAACAATTCGGATAACGATAATGAATGATAATTGTGATAACCACAATGGTGATGATGATGACGATTATAATCGCGCTCATGATAGTGATAATTATGATAGCGATGGTGGCAATGATAGTAATGATGGTTATGTTGTTTGTCGATGATGATGATGTCGATGATGTTGATGGTGACATCAAAACAGCTGGGCACCTCGCTGTTAGAGCCGCTACGAAGTCTTCATGGAAGTTAGTTTTTTTAACATAATGCGTGAAATAATTATGAATATAGACAGAAAAAAAGGATGATTGTAGAAGTATATTAGAAAATCTCTTTTTAATACCATCGTTGCATTTGGTTTCCATTTAAAAATTCATGTTTCAGCATTGTTGACAGAGTGATATTTGATTGTCATGCAACAACCACTTTTCAGGGTGTAAAACACGTGCACCACAGAGGTGATTCCTTGGCTCTATCTCATGGGAGTCGTTCTCTGAGACAACGTGGCTGTCTTTTTTCAGCACGACACTGCAAGCACAATTGGAATGTAATTGTGAGGACAGCACATTTATAAATATAGCATAGGTTAACAAATGCTTTCCAGACCTGAGTTTTGCCTTATTTTTGTATTGAATGCCTTCTGTTACCTGTTTCACTCAGTGTAAAATGCGGCTGAGCTCTTAAGCATGTTTCTCTCTCGTCCCAAACATTTGTCATTATAACTTTGGCTTTTACAGTAAACAAATATCCATCTATTATCCTGAACATAGAGAAATTCAGAAAGTCGTCATGTGTTGCCAGATATAATTTAGTGTTTCGTAGGGCTAATGGTGAGGTCATGGATAGATTTATACAATGGGGTCAAGCGCAGGCAAACAGTTGCTGCTATCACATGTTATTCTCACAAGTGAAAGTCCTCAATATAAAATGTGACTGACAAGAAGAGGTACAAAACGTGAAAAGAGGCTGTATTCCACGAAGAACGTATTGTCCGAATGAATACTTTGTTTTGCTCAGTGTGTAGTTCTTGAATTATTAAATACATAAATATCGCATTGCACAACATCGGCTCTGTGAATCAGTAGGAGGGCATTGGGAGAGAGAAATAATACCAGCCTTGCTCCTGCAATGGCCCAGACACATTTTTTTCTTTTTTTAGGGAGGATGGGTCAAGGTCAGGAACGTTAATGCCGTTCTGCATTGCTGCGTCATAATGAAAGATGCTTCTCTGAGGCCTTCAAAACGTCCGTGTTCATGTGCGTGGGAGTTTGGGCATAGATCACGTGTTTAGTCTTACACGTTTGCTTAATTCTGCCATCAGCTATGCTGCTATATTCACCGTTAATGTAGTCTCTAGCAGTCACACTTCGTGTGAGAAAGCATGCATTACATATGGTGGAACTTGATGGCTCTCAATTCTTTGCCTTTTTGCGCAAGCGTATATCTGTATGTGTGTACCGTATTCCCTCGTTATTCGGAAACTCGCTATTTGCAATTTTTACTATTTGCGAATTGCATCTGGAACTCTGCATGACTGCATCGAGAGTGAGAAAGAAAGTGAGCAGATAAAGTGATGTTGCATAGCATCACCATAATTGAAGATAACTTCATTTATAAACTATAATGTAATCTTCTTGGTTCTTTCGGTAAAGTCACGTAGAAGGGAAATAATAAAATAATAAAAATAAAACAATAAAATAATTCTCACGACGTCTGAATGAGACAGCGTCTTATTCAGACGCTGTCTTTCCGACAGACCTGTTCTTCACCTGAGGACGGCTGCTTGCGTTGTGGCCGAAACGTCGTGAGAATTGTTTAATGATGTTTTATTTTTATTATTTTATTATTTCCCTTCTACGTGACTTTACCGAAAGAACCAAGAAGATGAATCCCTGCAGTCACGAAAGCTTTAAATCGAAATATGATGTAATCCTTTATTATATATCTTTCATTTACTTTACGTTTATTCTGCCAATGTTATGATAATGTTCATGCATTTAAGGGCACATTTATATATTTAATTAAGGTAATTAATTAAAAAGATAGGTTTCTGTTGGCCAATATAATCAGCCGGGAAATTTGCTATTCACAAGCATCTCCAGATTGTATCCATCGCAAATTTAACGGAAACACAGTATGTCGACGGTGAAGGTACAGCCCTGCAATTGCTATTTCACACCACTGCTGGTGAAAGGGCTGACATACAACAAGCTATTTAGCTGACGTGCAAAAAGTTAAACTACCTATGTTGACAGGTAGTTTCATTAGGTAGTTGCATGTATCAATCATAATGTATTTCGGCTGTGACGACGAGACGCTTTCAATGTTTGTCAGATTGTTTTTTTAAGCACAACAAATTGATAACACTGCACTAACTTTTTTAATATGTTCATTTAATTAAACCAATTTCTAAGGAGTGTTGATTAAATGGTGGTACTATTGAATTATGCACACCTTGCCATTGGCTAATCCCCCCCCCCCCCCCACACTTTAAATCCAATTACATTTTTACAGCATTAAGCAAAGGGAAATTTAAAAGTAAAGTTCTCCTTGAAAACTAGGACTTTAATTAGGGAAATTCACTGCTTGGTGTGACCCATTAAATATTACCACTCAAAGGGGTCCGCGCATTTAAATAGACCGTTTATTATCGCCCTGTGTGAGTTTATGTACGCAGTAAGTCACCGTGATTAGTTACCAATATGCAATCAACTTTAAACTAAGAAGAGGGTCTCATTAATGTTTACAAGCTTTTGGACAAATTTTGTATTTACTTGGAAATATGTAGGGAATGCATGGACATTGCTGAAGCGTTCATTTACTGTTAAGGTTTTGTTGAAGCACATGCAGCATCTACTATAGGGACATTTTCTATTTGACTTAACATGTCTTCCTTCCCAAATATGTTTTCAGAAGTGATCATCTTTAATGGTGACCCAGTGGTGAAAATTCCACATTTATATGGAAAGGGCCAGTCTCTACCAATGACAACCATTATCTCCATATCACAAAGCAGTGCCCACTTTATTGACATGCGAGTGATGATGGGTTGGGTTGACTAATGACCATGGTTTAAACTCTGATCCCTCTGATTGTGATGCACGTGTTCTCACCACAGGTCCACCCAGCAGTTTTTAGTGGGACATGTTTAACTGTGTGATGTTAGCTTTAGCAATGGCACACAGTTCCCTATACCTCCGTAATGCCACATGATCTCTAATATCCATACAGAAATTATAAGGCAACTGCAGGGATTGGACTGTTGAATTGGTAGAAACTGGTTCACAAGGTTATCCATCCACCTAAATAATATATTTTGCAATAGCGCCTCTTATTGCTGCTAGGAATTGTTCATAGGCAGGCGTATATTTTGGTTGTAGACTTGTTTAATGTAAAGCCAGTGCACCTTGCCAGAGCAGCGTGATTGATTTGAGACAGTCGTATTGAAATTGAGCAAGTCTAAGGGATGAGCAGAAGGGCATTATGCACTCCTTTCACATTATCCTCGGCTCATTAATAATGCAGCTTATTTTCAATTGCTACGTCAATATCATTGCGCACAAAGACACACACTTTATCCTCCAAAGACATTCCAAAGATGACCATTTAGGTGACAAATGACTCGGTATGTGCTTCCACCCTCCGGCGCAATGCAGTGCAGTTTCATACAGAGATACAAAGGGATTCTCTAAACACTACAGACATTGGAGGGCTGAGCATCGTAAGGATGCGTAGAGATTAAGCAAGCAAGAACAGAAAGATACACCAATATTACATGTTGTATAATTCGTTCGAGTCCACTGTCAGAGTAATGCGAATTACGTAAGAAATCCAATCGCAGTTGTAGTCTGTACTCTTTACCCCATAGTTGCATGCAATGCATGACTGTTAAAATTAGCCTTGGGCACTGCTAATCACCATTGGAAGTCCTTAGTGACTGGCACAAACTCCACATTATTATGCCAGGTAACGGTCTCAAAATCAGCATAAAATAATCGCTGTTGGCTTCACACACAGTGGAAGTCATGATGTCGGCATGGATGAAGGATTGAGCCAAGCTCTGACCTTTTGAATGCCTAAGTGAGTGGTGTTGTCAGATTATCCTCACCTTTCTTTTCGTCGAAGAACAGCGTTTGCTGTGCCGAGTTGGCCCACTGGATGGGCGAGCCATCGCTGTTTTCCACCGAGCAGCTCAGCAAGACGCGTTCGCCCTCCACGGCTGTCACATTCTTGGCGACGGGTGTCTGCGACTGGCCTGCAAGTCGAGAGATGACGCCATTAGGCCGAATCTGTACGGGGCATTGTGTATGTAACATTCATGGAGGAAGTGTGTACATAAAAGCGACTGAATGTCTGGGTGGAAGTAACTTCATGTATGTATGTAGAACTTATTTTGCACCGTATGTAGCCAACCGTGCTAATCGCAGGTGTGGAGGAAGGACAAAACACGAGCATTGAGGCATCGGTGCTCATCTCCTGTTTACAGCCATGTAGAATCAATGGTGTAAATTCCACATTCCTTTGGCAGGGGCAAGCCATTCCACAGGACTACCACTGTTGACTTCCAAACAAAGTGGTACTCATTTAATCGATCCCAAAAATGTGATGGGATGGGTTAACCCCTCCAACTAGGATTTGGAAGCACGACACTGTCACTGCATAGCGCGCTTTCAGATGTGCTTCTGCGGCTGTCTGGAACGCTCTTCTGATATTAGGAAGCTGATGGAGCTATGCAATTCTAAATCTCGATTGAAAAATAATTTCTTTAAACTTGCTTTTTGTTTCATTTGTTGTCCTTCCCCCACGCCTCCGATTAGCACGGTTGGCTGTGTACGATGCGAAAGAAATTAAACATACATACAAATATAAACATTTACAACGTAAGTCAGATCAAAGTGACTCCCAGCTCAAATGAGCAATGGGGTGGTATTGACTTCCGCTGGCACCGCAGAGCCAGTCGAGGAAATTGCAGCTTCCTTTAACAAGGTTGACCACTGTTGGCTTAACCAAAAAGTGGTACTTGTTTTATAGATCTCGGAGGGATGATTGGCTCGGTTGATCCTGACGAGGATTTGAGCTTACAACCTACCAATTGTATACATGTATGTTGAACTACTTTTTCACCGTACGTAGCCAACCGTGCTAATCGAAGGTGCGGTAGGGAAGGACAACAAACCAAACCCAATTCCAATTTGGATGGTTGTTGCAGTCACATCGTGTGGATAGTTCCTAAAAATATATTGTGCAAATTCTGGCTGATTCCAAATGGTTTATGAAAATCATCATTAATGGTAATGCATCACATGTGTTTGTTATTTAATCGCTGCTCATTTATTATACGACACACTAATTGATTTGAATACACTTATTATATCTTTTAATTGATCCACAGTCAAAATATTACTCGCTGTGATCCCCAAAGAAACAGACAATCGAGCTCAGTCGAGCTCAGTGGCACTGTGGATAGAGCGCATCATTGGAAAAATTGTGACTTCAACTCGCAGCTGGAGTTGGCTCAAGACATCATTCCTTTTCGCGTGGTAAATAAGTACCACTGTGTGAGTCGTCAACAGTGGCTGCGCTCAGTAGACATAGGCCTCGGTCATAGGCAGGTCGAATTTACACAATGGGGTCACGGTCTATAACATAGTTATGTATGACCCATATGGAGCAAAAGTCCCGGGCATACGTTGTCTGGACTTTAATATGCTATTTTATATACCCTCATGCTTTGCTGACTCATGTCTAACTTCATCATTCATAGGCTGAAAAAAGTTCAGCAGAAAGCAATACCAATTTTATTGACTGCAGAGAGAGATCGGCTGAGTGACCCCCCTCCCACCAACCAGGATTTGAAGTCATGCCTTCTGAATGTAAGTAACCTACAATGCCACCACGCCTGACTTAATATAAATTTCCTGTATTTTAAAATAATTATATTCTTTTTCAGGTTAAGTATATTTGAGCGTTTGCTATAAAGTAGGGGCCAATGAGCAAATTACTACACATCTTGTAAGTGTGCACTTGACAGTGAAGCACCTTTATAAAGATGAAACCAGAAAGCCAGACTTAGGGTCAGGTATAGGTCTATGGTCTCTGGTTCATTCAAATTCCGAAGCTAGGAGTTACCCAGTACAAAGAAGGCAATTCATTTCATGTTCAAATACTTGATTGAATTGTACTTGTTTTTTTATATGTTATTCAGGTCCCAGTTTCCGAGTGGAACAAAAGGCTGGCTTTTCAGTAAAAGATCAAGGCTTCATTTTCCTTGGCTTGTGATGTAGCCACCTCCCATGTGACACTGCTGGCCTTTCAGAAATCAAAACAACCAACGCTGCTTTCGAGCAGCTGTACAATTGTAATGCTCAGTGTAACGTTAAATTATTCAGTGGATGTAATTAGCTTTTTAGATTCTCTAAATTTTAATTTACAACAAATCTATTGTGTCAGTTGGTTTCATATGTGAATGCAAGATGATGTTTCTTTAACAAACTAAGAATCAAGGGTGATCAAAGGATCTTCCTACTCAAACAAACAATAGGCCAGTGCTCTTTTCGATTGGTGAGCTGGTTTTTGGAATTCCACATTCCCTTTGAGGAGGCCAGTATCTGAAGGAGACCACTGGTTTAATATGACACAGTGTAAGTGATTACCAGGATGGTCCGTGTCACCCTGCAACTGGGATTTAGATTTTAAACATTTCACTTGTGTGTCAAGTACTGCACCACAAGACAAGATTGAAACCATTTTATGAGACCAAGACATTTTATTCTGTCTATATATGTAATTTGGAAATAAATAACATGGTACAGTATTCCTTTCTCGACATAATGCATGTAAATAAATTACCATAACTGTGCCCAGTCTGGTAAGATCTTGAAAGCTAAGCATATTTGGGCTTGGTTAGTACATAGTTTGGTGACCACCAGGGCTGACCAGGTGTTGTAGGTGTAGGGGTCACAAGGAGTGGCCAGGTAATAGCATTGCTGATAGTCATCCACTCGTATTCGTAGCTTTTCTCTGAGGAGTCCGATTTCCCCTCAAATTCCAAACACCCATTCGTGGAATTGGCCAAATATCCGAATGCAGAACCTTTTGAAAATGAGTCTCAAGTCCCAGTGTGGCTTTCTTGGGTGGGTAAGTGATTGCTAATTTAGCATAATATTGAGACACAATGCTCTGCTGTTTGTCGGAGGTTCTGAAATTGACTATATTGTGTGAAGATCTGTTGTAACACTTATGCTGATAATGAAATTGGCATGCAATTGGTTAAAATAAATATTAAGTAAATAGGCATCCACTGGCTCACTAGCAATGCTGCCTTATTGAGCTTTTTGCACTGTCTTCTTGTCGAATCATTTTGCAAAGGAGCTACTGTTGATAACCAAACCACGAGTTCTTCTTGATCCCCAATATAAATGAATCAGTATACAGAACACCTCCATTCATGTAAGAAATTCGATCTTGTGTACAGTCCACTGTGTTTTAAAACAAATGAATAACCCCATTGACATCATACCTTGCTATCATTTCATTTCTCCTGCCAGATACTGCAAATCTGTTGTGCAGGCATCACCTGAGCACCAAGGCCTGTGTAAACGGTATCACCACCACCACCACCACCACCACCACCACCACCACCACGTTGCTTTGTGTCTTCATCTCGATCACCTGTCTGTGATTGCCCACCCCAAGGCCTGTCTTAGTAATCGTTCACACATGCCCAATCCATCACGACCCTTCCTTCTCTAATTGCACCTACAGCTCTATCCTGCTGCATTATTTTCATCGCAAGTTTGCTGAGCACATGCCCAAAGGCCCATAACTTCAAAGTTGTCGGCAATAAGCAGCAATAATGTCGATGCAATTGGGTTAAGTTCATGACATTTGGATTAGAGACAAGACGAAAAATATAAACGTGAGCAGTGCAAGGAAATAAGGCTGAAATAGAAGGATATATGTTGAACTTCTTTCGCACCGCACGTATCTAACCGTGCTAATCATAGGTGCTGTGGCCTGCAGCAGTGTGGTGGCTGAATGTGCACCATGGATGACAGAAAAAGTCAGGTAGACTGAGTCCTCAACGGCAACGGGAGCGGAGGAATCAAAGACTAAAGTTCAAGGGGACAATAAACAAGGTAGTAGCCATAGCAGAGTGATACAAATGTGACTGACCACTGTTGATTGAGTATACTATTATTCTGAGGATCCGAGTTAAAACTCAACTAAACATTTGTTTTATTTTACCAAGTAAGGCCCACTGAGCAACATAGCTCTTTTTTCAGAAGCGATCTGGCCACAAATGATAGCTGAACGAAGTGGCTTATATTGTGGAAATGTTTTGCAGCCAAATACTCGAAACTCAAGTCTCTAAATGTGGAGTAAAAAACCGGAGGACCGGAGAAAAATCCACGCTACCACGGGGAGAACATGCTAACTCCAAATCACGACCTCCTGTACACCAGGCGAGCTAGTTAACATCTCGCCACCATGACGACCTTAGCCTATCCTGCAATCCAGATTTCAAACATCCTTTGCATGCAAATATACGTCGTAAGCCTATTTCCTAGTTGCTATGTTAATTGGCGTGAATGCTCTGTTAATTGTGGCTTTGTCTCCCCTTAGAACCCCAATATTTTTGTAAACCTAGGAATTAAACAAGCCTTGCTTCTCTCAAATCGCATGTGCATTGCAACCAGTAAGCATCATGTCACCACAAAACACGCCGGCGCCTAATCTAAATTATGGATTTTCCAAGCCACCCTTTTTCCAGGATGTTAATATTTAATGGAAGGCTGTGCCACAAATTGCAAATTAACTCTTTGCAACATAACAGGTTGTAAAAACGATGTATGCATCCTACTTAGTGTTCATTGTTTATATTTTATTTTCCGTGTGGTCAGTCTAATGGGTTGCACATTGACAGATAATTGTTTAAAACTGTGGAAAGAAGTGGCTGAAATTCTATTTGAAATGTTTGTGAAACATTCTCTATAATGTCGTGTAATGCAATTAATAGCTAAATATATGTCATGTCACTGCCTGGAGTAAAACCAAACTGCTATATGAATTGCATTACCATGCAATGCAACTGCCCACTGTGTATGTGTCATATGCTATAATTCTACACAATTTGAGTCTCCAGTGACAACGACTCGGGTAAAAGCAAATATAGGCATAACCCCATTACGTCAATCCATATAAAAATAAGTACACTTTGGACCAGGTTTCAACTTTATCGATCTCTTCAGCAGA